ACGTCGAGAGACGAGAGAGAGAGAGAGAGAGAGAGAGAGAGAGAGAGAGAGAGGGGAGGGAGAGGGAGAAAGATCGCGCACTCACGCACGTACGCACGTACGCACGCACGAAAGGTGGAAGCGGAGTTCCATATACGGTCACCTTTGTCAAAGCCCGGTTGTCGCCATATACAGGCAATGTTCGCGATGGCAGACACTTATATAGAGCCCGAGTTAAGAGTCAGGAATGTTGCTTTTTGTCGCGCCTTCTCTACACATACACGCGTATCCTCCTGCATCGCGATAAATGGCGGGGTAGGAAAAGCGGTGTGAGAAACGGCGCGTGTAGTCGGAAGCGAGAAAGCGCGGCGGAGCCGTTGTCATCGCGGCTTTTCGAGCTTTCCAATTGGTACCGCACTTTCCCGACTTCCTGAAGGCGACTTGACGAGCTGGCATATACGCGATTCTCACACGCGCGTATTGTCCAACCGTGTGTATCGTTGAATTAGACGGCGATTGGCATAAATTGCGAGGAGATCATTATGCCCTTTTTTAACTTAGAATTATTCTTAACAATAGAGTACACGATACAACCGAGAAAAATTAACATTTTGCGGTCTAATCCATCAACTACGTAGAACCTTGAAGAAAGAATTACAACCGTAAGATGTATCATTAGGCTTTCACATATGTAGTAATCAGTTTTCATAAAAAAATAAACAAAATTATATCGTCGTCAGTAGTTTAATCGAATTAAAGAAACTGAATGTTGCGTTATTCGAAACTTGGGAATATCTTTGAACTGTTGTTTTACCATCTCGCCGCGGAGCGAGATCGAGGAAGAAACATCAGGGCGGGAAAGATCCGTGCGAGACGAGCGCTCCCCCGGTCGAGGGGGTCGCGAACGAATTCGCGAGGACGTTCTTTTCCGCGAGTGCATCGCGCGAGTGGAGTCCGCGAGAGATGACCATATAAGGAGCGCAGACAAGATGCTCGCGCATCTTTCTCTTTCTTTCCTTGCGTCCGCTAGGTAGGTAGGTAGGTAGGTAGGTTGGTAGGTAGGTAGGTAGGTAGGTAGGTAGGTAGGTAGATACGCACGCACACACGCACGTTTGTACATTTGGTAGATTTTTTGCTTGTACCGCCGTTGCATTCAAACTACCCCTTTCCTCCCGCCCCTCTTTTGCGAGAAAAAGAGATCCCCTGCCGATATCCGCCCGCTTCCGCGCGACGACGACTCGCACTCGAGGCGGATGCACAATAACGCCGCTCTTCTTGGTTTCAGGAGGAGAACGCGTCGCCCAGATCCGATGTCTGCATCAACGAGAGCGACGGCGAGAGCAGTGACGGCGACTCGAAGGATCCTATCAAGAACAATCACTCGGGTGAGTCTCACACGCGGCCGTCGTGAAGTCCGCGAGGATCGCTGGGGTACGGCGGTGATGCGCTTGAATCAAAATTCTTCTCAAAACCTGGCTTCTCGTCCCCCTCTCTGAGTCCTGATATGCCTGAGTACGCTTTCAAAAAAAAATTAGGATTAGTCTTATCACAGAGCGGGAAATCTTTTTGTCTTTGAAACGAATCAGATATGAAATATATGTTTTCGAACGATATCGGTCCCATTAGTCGCGAAGTAAACTATATCATTCGCGACTAATCATTAGCCGGCCGAGTTCGTGCAAGGTTTTCAGTTGGATTAAATTCTGCGGTTACGTCGATTTTCTGTCATTCACGGCTGCGATTATTCATAATATCTTTCGCTGTTCCACATAGAGAGAGAGATAGGCCTCCCACGTAATGATTTTTAGAATTTTAATGCAACGCGTTTTGTACTATGTTGGAAACCGCGAAGGTGCGCTATATGTCTCATACAAAACATAAACCACAGATTTACGCTTGACTATGGCAAATTCTTCGTAGCCAGATGACGTGTTATCGATCTTTCGAAAAATAGAAAATAATTTCGTGACAATTATCAAGATCGTGATTAGAAAGAGAAACGACCCGAGACCGCTCCGACGTGAAATCGAGGGTGTTCGCAGTCCTCCCGATCTGCCGCTGCCCTCCTTCGTGCCGTATGTATGCTAATCGCGTCTAATTGTCGTCGATACCATTTGCGTCGCGCTTGACCTCATCGCGCGCTGATAACGAACAGCTGGTCAGACGGAGGTGAGCGA